CAGTTGTTCTCAAACTAGGGTACGTGTACCACTCTTTAATACAACTGTTTTATACTTAATTCTCACTTGGTGTCTGTGTGTTGTTACAAAATTAAATTGAAGTTCCAGTTGTAGTACTACAGTAGTATACGGTAGTACTGCAGTAGTATATGGTAGTACTACAGTAGTATACAGTGTGGCATTAGCTGATTAATAGGCTAATAATGCTATGCTCTTGTTCGTATACTGGACTTGTTGGTCTTGGTCTTGGTCTTGGTGTTGCTCGAGAGCCTGGTGGTATTCACTCTAAAAACTACTGGTTTAGAGAGTTTTTTTTTTATTACTGAATAAACCCTCCTGCTCCTCCCCTGGTCCCCGCTCCTTTCTATCATCACCGTCTTTGGCCTACTTCTAACTCCACTCATTATGCACGACAAAGTGGAGTATCCCACTCTTATCTTCCTCCTCTCATATTGTCCAGAGGCCTAAAATATCCCACTTGATCTTAAGGGGAATCTCAAATTCTACACTGTAGAAATTGAATAAGGATCCCCAGGATCAGCCTCGACCCCACCCTCCTGCCGCCGTCAGGGATTGTCTTACAATCTCATTTACATTCAAATTTGATGCTGGTGGTCATATTGAGTCAATATTGACACTGAGATTCTACCGTAGGATCGTCTTTTCTCCCATCAACCCCGGGGGTTGTTGCTTGCTCGGTGATTTTGGTGGCGGACGACATGGGGGGGTTTTGTTCATGGGTTTTAATAATGAAACAGGGAATTGCACCAAGGAAGATGTGGGGGTTGGTCCAAGTCTTTGTGTTGGTGTCAAGAAGGGATTGTCTCTGTAAGGTCAGAGCTGCGTCCTCGGAGCTTTGGCTTCAGTCGAGTTCAAAGGGACGCGTCACTCGGTTTTTATCATGTCTCTTTGTCCACTTGGCCAAGAACACTCGAGGTCTCACTGCAGAGCCTGTGAAGGTTCGAGTGCTGTGAAAGACAAACGTGTTCTGCAGATCCAGGAATATGTATTTGGGTGTTTGGGTGCATAAATGATGCTACAAAACTTTGTACACTTTTTTAAAGTGAAATAAAAAAAAACTATATATAAATAAACATACACTGGCAGAACTGTGTGGACTGTATACAGTATATAATAATTCCTCCATCCCTTTACTTTACAGAGTTGCCCAAAGTTTGTGGACAGAGTTTAAGCGTCCACTTGATGAGATGGTAGTTTAGGCATAATAACATGTCTCTTGACTGTGTACATGTAGTAGAGCAATGATAAGTGAATGGACCTTGGAATTATTGGCTGTACAACCTCTGCCCATACAATACAATGTAATGAAAATTAGAATCAGATTTAATCTGAACAAAGTCAAGGCATTCATTTCAACAGCCCTAACATGTAGTGTTAATTAGTCATAATGTATTGTGTACGTGAGGTTATAAATGTGTACCTTTCATGGTAAAACTGTAGCTTTTCATCACTGATATCTAAGAATCGTAAGAATGATTGACAGCCACTAACATCAGTGTTTTTGTTCTGTGGGGTGAAAACCTATACACACACAAACACACACACATGGGAATAACATGCAGAGTCAGTGTATTGAACCAGCGATCGACCATCTTGCTGTAAGGCATGAGCACGGACCACGCCAGATTCCCAAACCTGTGACATTTAACAAAAAACATTTTTGGAACCTCGTATGACCTTTTCAGTCGTACTCTGCCTTCGTCCAAACAATTTTGCACTGTTGCAGGCGCTCATTTCTCCAAATCATTGTGTGGTCTTTTTTTCACAGGGTGAAAGCACAATACTGGACATAGACATGGTGCCAGAGGAAAAGTCAGGAAAATTTGCCAAGCCTGGAAGAAAACGCAAGCACTTTCCAGTGAGTTCATTGTCTACATGACTACATCCATCCGTCTGTTGAGTTAGAGTGATTTTCTGTCTGCTTTCCATGTGCGAGTTAAATCCCGGCCTCTGCCAAATGTTCCATGTCAGCCAGGCCTTGAGCGGTGACACTGTCCTGCGTCAGTCTGTTTCCTCTCCCTGTCTCTTCAGTGACACCTGTCAAATAAAAGTCAAGTGGCAAAAATAACGACTTCATACGACATGAAATTCAATCACATGTGAAGGCAGATTTTTCACACTGTCTGCTGAGGATCAGAAAGGTGCTGTAAACATATAACAATCTGTTACATAGATTTGTATTGTTAAAGAATATGTCTTTGTGGAAATAGGCCTTTACAACTTTTTTTGTTGATTTTGTTTTAAGCCATATTTTTGGGGTTTGACTAACATTGGCCCAAACTATGACTTTGCCAATGAGCCAGACTGAGCATCTTTAGGCACCTATTTGCTTAGCTTAGCTTAGTAGTTAGCTTAGTCAAGCTGTTTTGACTATTATTTAGCTACATTTGTTTTGCTGAATCCTTCACCTGACTTAACCCCTTGTTTACTCAAAGTAGGTTTTTTTATTTTCAAATCTTAAGTTTCTTGCCAAGTAGGAGCTATTTTTCTTCGCTTTCTTCGCTTTCATATTAGTGATAAATAACACCTAACTGGGTTACCCTTTTTAAAATAACAACCCGTTCCTGTACACTATGATAACTTTAGTTAATGTATTCTCAAATGCATGTCAACGTATTCAAATATTTTTATTCAGATACAGAGTATTTTCATCCTTCTCTGGTACAGTGTCCACACTGAGTTAAAAAGTCAACCCTGTAGAACGTGGAGTTAATACTTGATAGACCACTGATTCGTTTCACAGTAACCAGCATTGTCTGTTGGACAGTGCTTTTCCAAGCAACTGAAAACAGAAGGAAGTTAGATTTTTCAAAATGTAAAACACCCGTCAATATAAGACACTTTGACTTTAAAGTTATATATTTACAAAATACCTTAGCGCTACAGAAGCTACAAGGCTAGACATGTCAGTAAAACATTGAAGTTAGCCAAAGTAGCTAAATATTAGCCATGTGCAGCCAATGTCCAGTTAGCTATATGTATGATAAAAATAGACCGGACTAGAAACAATGAAAATACAGACACAACAAAAACTACCAGTAATCCTAACAGTAGGAAACAAAACACCCAATGGTCACCAAAATCCTTTTCTAAGAATAAAATTTTCCCTCTTCGTACTTCTGTTAATTCTCGTTAGTTTATGCATAAGATGAAGATGAGAGAAAAACATGTCAGAGCATTTTTCAAATCCCGGGATTTAACTTCAAAAGGAATCACAAACAAATTACCAGTACTAATGTTGTCTAGTGTTGTGTAGGTCTCACAGCAGAGTTGTGTGTCTGTGTGTGTGTGTGTGTGTGTGTGTGTGTATGTATGTTTATTCATGAGTGTATAGAGGCAGAACGTGGCTCCTGGCAGATTTCAGGCGGCTGACGCAGCACTGTGAGGCTGCTGTTGACTGTAGATGGGCAGAAAAAAGACTTTATTAAACATGTTCCTAACCCAGACATGCTGCCATAGCTCTGTGTGTGTGTGTGTGTGTCTGTGTGTTTGTGTGTGTGCGTGACAGGAAATAGGATTAGTACGACCCTGTTCATCTTTGACCTTTGTCTGTCTGTGCTGTCGGTTTAACTGAGTGTGAACTCTGAACTCTGACTGAGGCCTTCACGGTTCACACTGTCACTCATGTGTTGTGTAATCCTGTCGTCTGTTTGTGTTCCTTCAAAGAATGATGGCTGATGTCAGACATTTTAAAAAGTCGGCTATTTTAAGCTAACTTTTACCTTTTGGAGTTGACCTAATTTCTCCACCATTTGTGTCCCAGATGTTATCTATGAAATATGTGTGTTGTTTATTATCTGGCAGGATTAATTTGCATCAGGATATTACATCATATCCTTTTAAATCCCAGCTTCTGATAATGTCGGGCTATTCCAGGTCAGGCCTGTATCAATTTATCTTGAAGATGACCTTTTTAGCTATCTTTGACGAAAAAGCTAGCCACAATCAACTTGTGCGATAACATTTAGCTTTGTCCTCAGATAATTTCTTACTGTTAATTACCCAACTATTACTTGGTAATTCTTTGTTAATTATTAAACTAATTTAGCTAAATTCACCAGAGAGATAATTAAACAATATATTGAAAAGAAATGCCCTGTTTTTATGTTTTATCTTCAGCTGTTTTTTATTTCTTTTTAGCCTACAGTATACTTTTTTATGATAAGTGTATTATTATTTTTTGAAAAATAGTTTAGCTTTGTTCTTAAGTTCATCTTTTAATAAATACATTTATTATTATCAATTTTCGAAAACCTGCCAACATGTAGAAATTATTATTAGTCATATCTTGATTCATACTTCCATACTGCTTTTTTTTTATGGTTTGTTGCGTTGTTTGTTTGTGTTCTGACACAGCGTTGCCCTTCAACGTAGTTAATGCGCCTCTACGTTTCATTTACTCCATTGGTCTGTGGGCTGCATTAACACCTCCTCTCTCCCAGGATTAGTTTGCATTGGACCTTGTTAGTTTGCATCAGCAGCAGCAGCAGCAGCGGCAGATTTGCTGACAGACGCCTCCTGAGGCTGTTATTGTCGCCTGCCTTCAGATGCACCTACATCCCTGACAGATGAAAGCTTCAGCACGTCTCTCGTTAGCGTTGACAGTCCAATCTCAACAGACATGCTCCACTTCTGCTCTACAGCCAAACACCAGTGCAGATATTTACACTGCAACAGAAATGACGTTGCTTCTTTGAACTCGTATTAGAAGTAAAAACCTGTTGCAAGTGAGTGTGAAGATTCAGGTAAAGCAGCATGTTTAGGTTAGACTGGATAAAACAAAATAATAATGGTTACTCAGAAATGAGCTAGAACTGGACTGACAGTTGTCCAAAAAGTATCTCTGACAGTTATCATCGTATCATACATTATCGGAGCTCAATGTTGGACAGAATATTGTAAACAATCCCCAACAATATATAATGGTAAAATATGACTACACTTTGTCTGAAAGAAAAAAAAACTTTATTAGCTAATAGATAGTCAAATCAACACATCAAAAAACTGACAAAACTTTTGAAAGTATTGTACATATACAGTAGTTAAAGCCTAAAATTAGCTGTAGACCTTAGCATTCCAATGATTAACAGAGTAATTTTGCTTAAAATAATAAACCTAACTTGTTTTAGTAGAATAGCTAAATATTAGGACAGTGTTAAGATTGCCAAAAATATCTTAAAATTAGCCCAAAAATAGCATAAGAACCTGTTTAAAATATGTCTTAAAGATGATATTAAATGCTAGCAGATGGCTTTAATTAGCTGTACGTTGGCTAATACAGTAGCTAATCCAAGAGAGCAAAGTAGACGCCCATTTCAAGAGAAAGTATATAAAGGTAGCCACAGAAATAGCTAAAAGTTCATATAAAATAGCAAAGAAAAAAAACACCCAATGCCAAAACGTACATCGTTAGCATTAGCGTAAATGTGGCTTAACCTGCTAATGTAGAAAACATGTAAAAAGCTGCCCTTTAATCCATCTCTCTTTGTATCAGCTGCTGTGGGTAGAATGAAATAGTTGGACTGGGCGTTTCTGAGTGGACAGTGTGTGTGTGTGTGTGCGTGCACGTGTGTGTCGGCAGGCCAACATTCCTCACATATTTCCCTGCTGCTGTAATGATGACTACAGAGAACTCACTAATGTACCTGTTGAACTGTGATCTCATGTCATGTCCTTCCTTCTTCCTCGCCGTCCACGTTAAGTGGTGGAGCCGTGATTTTTACTGCCGCTGCTTTCAGGTTTACAGCTGTGGTTTTTATTAGAGCTGCTGTAAATCTCCATGTGATAAATACATGTGCAGAGGTTTAAATCTGGGCACGTGCAGCTGGAGAGGCTGGAAGTGTCAAATCAGCCCTTAATGACTGTTTTTAGTAAGCTAATGTAAAAACTCACAACCCTTTACCCTCCAGAATATATGACCTACATCAGCTGTGGCTGGAAACCTTTTTATGGTTTAAATTTGTATGTTTTAATAATTAAACATGTATTAATTCTTTCATACAGATCTTAAAGAACACTTGTTATATGCAAGAGTAAAATATGTTTGTTTTTTCCTGGTACCGTCAGATATGACTAACTGTGATCTTACTACTAAACTAAGCTAAGATGGTTAAGATCTAGAAATAAAGCAAAACTCAATTGCAATGACATATCTGTCAGTCATGTTAAAATTCATCTCTAAAGTGTCTTAGCCATTATCACAGTAAACATGCTAAAAAGCAGCTATCAGATATACAGTAGCTAAAAATTAGCAGCTAAAATGCTAAGAGATGGTGATCCGGGAAACAAAGAAACTAAAAGGAACGCCAAAACTCTTAGCTTAGCTCTAATTGGCTGAAAGAAATTCCTTAAAGAATTTAGGCCTCAAATTTAAAAAAAATCTATACTAAGATTTAGCCCAAAATACCTAAAGTGTTACCTTAATATTTATTATAAATTAGTCTAAAACAGCTGACTAGTTGCCAAAAAATATATAAAATTTAAATTCGACCTGGGAAATTATTTGTACGACCCATTTTTAGTTCAACTTTACTGATTTAAAAAAGTCAGGGTAAAAAGTGACATTGGTTTCTTCTGTTGTTTCACTGTTGGACTCACAAACAACATTTTTCTTTGTCGTGTCTCCTGAAAGCAGCGACAGTAGATTTACTAATGCATTTGTCATTTCTGTTGTCAGGACACACACACACACACACACACACACACACACAGTGACACACTGCTGCTGTAAACCTGATGGATCTGCTGGCACGTTAACTTTTCATCTCCTGGCTTCAGGTCCAGAGCTGCGGCTCATTCAGAGACGGTCTTGCCAACAGCTACACCGGAGCCGGGAGGCCGTCCATGGCACTGCTCCACAACGGAGATGTGGGCGGGCACAGGGACAGGACGTCCGACGCCTGCTTCCCCAAACAGGAGAAGAGGGAAGTGGAGAACGGGATTCCCAGAGGCTCTTCCTCCTCCTCATGCCGAGCTGCTGAGGACGGCTCCCAGGGTCAGAGCCTGAGCCCCTCCCAGGAAAACGGATTCCTGTCCAGTCGGGGAGAGTTGGAGTCGGAGAAAGACAAGGACGAAGACAGCCTGATGACGCCGCGCAAGAAAAGAGGCAGGCGGAAACTGGAACGCCCGACCAAATGTGAGTCTGTTTATCTTTATTCCTCTTTGGCTTGGGGCCTATCTTTTGATCTGCTCTGTGCAGGTCCAGCAGGAAAAGTTTTGAGCACGTGATTCCTACAAGATGTGGAATAATGAAGTTTAAATGGGAGGCAGATTGAGTGGATCTGAGTTCACTGACCCTGGATCAGCCTGTAAACCTGAGCGTAAGGCTAGAAACTGCCTAAGACAGGCCTGCAGTGGTGTTGTTAAACAAAACTTAATTAGTTTACCTACTGGTTAATGAACTGATAATTAACTGTAAATAGTTTTAATAACATTAATTAGTGCAGTATTTCTTATAACAAAAATGACATTTTATTTAGCATTGTGTGTTTATCGGAATTTATTTATACAAAGGTTTATATTTAAATAAAATAAATACCTATACAAAAATATATTAAATAAGTGTTCTTAACTTAAAATAAGCTAAAAGTTAGCTACAGTTAGAGAGATAGAGTAAAGATCTTGGAGTAGTTTATTCCAAGCAGAAAAACACACCTTTCTTCTGTAGGTAGGTAGCTGAGTGTTAACTATATATAGCCTAAATAGCTCAATGTAGAGTTAAGTTAAAAGTTAAAAATGCTAAAAGGTATCCAGTATCCAGTTAGCTAAAAGAACGGTAGGTTTTTGGCTAAAGAAAAACCCCACTAAAAGAACGGTAGGTTTTTGGCTAAAAAAAAACCCAAAAGAAAATAACAAAAAAGCACACAATAGTCAGCAAGTTAGCGATTGAATAGCTAAAATTAGCCAGTTAGCATAAGACACATGTCAGAAAATAAAATAAGAATAAATAACTATATCACTGTAATAAATAAATGTGGTTCAGTGTAGCGTCAGCAGCAGGCAGAGAGAATTCATGGATCAAATTAGCATATAGAGATATCATAAATCAGAGGGACGGCGTCGCGAGTCAGCCGTGCTGACAGAGAGCTTTCAGTACAGGATGAAGATTAGAGCCACCCACCCCCCACACTCCTCACCCTCAGGTTCCCCTCTCTCTCCTATCTGTGTGTCTGCGTCTCCGTGGTCACGTGTCTCTCAGCAGCACAGACACTGACTGTGACCTTGATGAGCAGGGCAGTAAATAAAACCAGGGGAGGATACACTGGTCTCCCGGCAACCAGGCTCTCTGTTGGGAGCGGCTGGGCTGTGAGGAGGCCGACTCTCGCCCTGCCAGGTGGATGGAACTGAGCCCAGATCATTTGACTGGGAAACTGGGAGTGGAGTCTGGGTTCACCTGACCTGGGATGAGCCTGTGTGTTCATGATCCCTGATGTTGTTGGTCAGTTTATGTCATTGACGCCATTTAAATGTATGGTTTATTTGACAATTATTTGATGTTAAATAAATCCATGTATTTACTTACACAAGTTTTACAATTTACAAGTTTGACCCTAACACGAACATAACAGGGCATGACGTTAACTGTGAGACGACCCCTAACCCGTGATTTTCATCTGAGTTTTGTACGTTGAGGTTGTGAGCCCTTCATTGTCCCGATTGTGGTTAGTGCGTTTAATAAATCCTAAGTTGCCAAATTGTGCCAACTGTAGGTGACCCTTCTCTTCTGTTGAGTTCTCTGTATAATCCATATAATCCACTTATGATTTTAGCAGATTAGAATTAGGTTTCTTTCCCTGAAAACATTCTCAAAACATTTGACCCAGTTTCCTCCAAATTTTCTTTAAAAAAATCTGAATCCATTTATCAAGAGACTAAAACAGAGGTGTTTAACATGGGGTCTTCAACCCCTCAGAGGTCCACAGTGAGTGTTTAACATGGGGTCTTCAACCCCTCGGAGGTCCACAGTGAAGGACTAGGATTATGTCCATGTCATAGTATTGCATTCATAATAACAAGGTTTATATATACACATGGCTAAATAGCATGTTTATTAGAAAGCACAATTTCACTAAATGTCCATAGTACAGTAGGGGTTAGGGTTATTGGAATATTATGTATTTCCAGAAATACAATAGAACTCTTCTTGGTTTTGTTGAAAATGTGACTACATTTCAGAGATCATCACGAAATCTCAGTTTTTCTATGAAAGCCATGTAATAACACTAGCAGTGACAACGTGATTGAAGTCTGGGAGCTTTTTAAACATTATCTGAAAATTACTGCGGTAATGCGTCAAAGGAAGTGTAGGACAAAGAGTTTAGAATTAAATCCAGGGATTCATGTGGGGAGTATTTCTCCCTCTGGGTCTTTGGACTTTTTTGCTTCTCTGTTTCACAACATTGTAAAACATCTGATCAGTGCTTTAGATGTTTTGACTCAAATGTGATCAATGTCAGCTGACTCAACCGAGGCAAAGATCTCTTACATGAAGGAGCAGATTGAAAAGAGAGTGAGTAATTATTCAGCCTGTACCGGGACTGTTGGCTTTGGACTGAAAGAAAAAGAAAAAAAACTTCTCTTACAAATATTCAGATCACAGCTCTGTCCACAGTCCACAGGTCCCTGCAGACTCACAGCAGATGGTGGTGACATTTCCAACTTTTTTTCCAAGGCTGTGGGCAGCCGTCGGCACTCAGGCTACAATTTGTGAACATACTCCAGAGCTGGATGGAGTGGAATTTTGTCAGGCCACACACACACACACACAGATATGATGCGTGTCTTCAAAAGCTAATAACAAAACAAAGTCATTTTGGATGGAGATTTTAGCTGCATTTGTTGCTAAACTTTTACCTGTTTGTCTGTGAGATTCTGGCTTCTAATCCAGAAGATCTTGCGTTCAAAACCATATTGTGGCCAAATATCAACCCTGGTGTTCAGGGTTGCTTCAGAACTACCATTTGATTAACACAAATGTAGTGCCCCCTGGTGGAAAGACAAGGCAAACTAGCTTAGCATTAGCTGTATTTGTACTAACGTTTCTGTTCTGTTTGGGAAAAATATCTTAGGATACTTTTGTCTGGTTTGTCGGGTCTATAGTGTACTGGTTAGCCCGCCTGCCTCGGAAGCAGAGAGCAGAGAGTCCTGGATTCGATTCCCAGAGGAACCACAAGCTTGGCGCCGTCTAGGGGCAGCCTGTTAATAGCATATCTGCTGCTAACACAAGAATTTCCCAAATATGGAATCAATAGAGTTAATGTTTTTAATTACCTTAATTTTTTTAGTTTTGGCAGCATTGTTTTTTACATTTTGAAAAAAATTGATCATTATCAGAATTTGTGATCTAACTTTTAGCATTTTTCCGTTGAACCATGTCTGTTTGTTTTCACAAAATGTTTTTACATGTTTGCTTTAATCACTATTCTTGTAGTTTATCTATTTAGCTAACCCAGAAGTGATTTTACCTCTGATGTTTGTCCTCCATTAGAAGTCTGTCTCTGTTTTTTGTTTAGATTGATTAAAAAAACAATTTCAGTACATAAGCCCAGCTTTTAAATATGTAATAACTTTAAGATTTAAACATTTAATTTCAGTACATAAGCCCAGCTTTTAACTATGTAATAACTTTAAGAAAAAACATTTGCATTTACTAACAGTGTCCTCTTCTTTAATCCTTTGTGTCAGTGGAGCGGCAGTTGGTCGTTAGGTGCTTTTACATGATACAATCTGCCACTACTTGAAGTAATCCTTGGTGTTAAGTGGTTGAAACAGCTTTTACTTGGGATTGCATCAGCTCCGAGTCTCTACCTGAAAATCATTCCAAGCGCACGACGCAGGATATGACGTGGAAAATCAGTCTTTTGTAAAAAAAAAAAAAAAAAACTATTTACACAGGAAGGTCTGTGATGTTGGGGCCGACCTCCTCCAAAATCAGTCAATCAATCGTGTTGTATCAGGCAGAGAGCAGGTGGTAGGAATGAGCAGGTCTGAATGGAGAGAGAGTAAAGTCATGTTAGAGGGCGCAGTCACGGTGGTGGTGGTGGTGGTGGCGGTGTAGAGTAGGGGTGGGTTGAATCGATCGTACCCCTGAACAGGGTGTCTGTTATCCATCTGGAGGGCACAGGAAGGATCTGAGCTTGGGCTGGAGTAGAAACCACGCTATGGCAATATGAGAGCTGGACCTGGCTCAAACTGGCGAGGTATACTCTCTGTGGGCAACATTAGCCAGCTCCTCTCACAAACCCGGTGACCTTGACGGGTTCGCCTCACTGCCTCACCCAGTTCTTACACAGTCACTTATTTCCCAAAGATATATAGACGATGGGAACCAGGAGAGGGTGATGGAAAGAGAGGAAGAGGGGGTCGGCTACACATGACAATGACTTTAAGAGGCTGCCGAGGGACTGGAGTATTGTTAGCACAGGTCTGGAGGACACTTCACTGACAGTTGGTGTTAGCAGTGTACAAAAGCACACCTTCAAAAGTTGTTCTCAACCCTCTTGGGACCAGGACTAAGCCAGTGGTTGGTGTCAGAAGAGTTAGAGTGCCGGCTAATTTGGGCCACAGATATGTGAGGTGGAACTCCAGGCTGTTAAATCTTAGGACAACATTAGGCTTGGCAGTCAGTTAGAAGGAAAGAGGCCTCTTGAATGAAAGAGGAAACCACTTTAAGAAACCTACGCTAACGGAGTTGCCTAATTACAAACCCTATAGACCTCAGAGACTTTAAGACGTTAAGACGTTAAGTTAAGGAAAAACAGCACGAGACCGTGACTTCAACGTGTGTGTTTGTTGTGTTTTGGACGTCTGGTTTGATTTGGACTTTGTCTTGGTTTCAGCATAAGCAGTGTTTAACGTCGTCAAAAATTGACAACATTTTGAGAGCTGTGATTGGCTGTAGCTCCTCTTGTGGCCCTCCACAGTTAGACAGCAACAGATGGATGGAAATATTGCCTCTCCTGTCTCTTCTGAGAACACCACATTACAATTAATTTCATACAGTTTCAGTTGAGGTTTTTTTTTTTGTACTAGGTGAAACGATAAATCTAATGTGATTCTTCTTCATGTCTGGTCTCTACAGATTGAATATACAGAATGTTGGCAACATATGGTATACAAAATATTGCCCACAAAGTTTCTTGCCATGTTTTGGGTAGTTGGTTGTTTGTTTTGCCTGATTAGGACCAATATGGGCTGCAAAAAGCCAAATTGTGGACCACATTCTACATAGATACCAGGTGTAGACCTAAATACCACAATTGAACCAAATTGAACTTTAATCCCAGAAACGGCTCCAGTACTTAAATTAGAATTCATTAGCGACATCCATACTTGATTACGCATTAGTTGAACTTCATTAGCGACATCCATACTTGATTACACATTAGTTGATTCAGTTGTTTCAGTTTCTAACCCGAGGTTTTCTAAAAGTGCTTTTGCAGCTGTGTGTGTATTTGAAGCAGCTTTGGAGAGTGTGTCCTGATTGTGACCTTTAGTAGAGGCAACTGTCTTCGTCAATCATCACTCAGTATGTAATGTATGTATGCCTTATGAAAAACAAAGTGTCCAAGTCATTGTTCTGAGCATCTGTGATCAAGTGTCCTTATCTGTGAGCTGCTCAAAGTTTAATGGATGGTGTTTGGGTTGGGTGGTGTCCACACTCCCTGACTAACCCGCTCGCTGCTCCAGTGAACTCAGGCAAACAGAGCTGTTGGAGAATGAATAACATGCCTGTGTTGTTACTGACCTCCACGTCTTAAATCATGGCACAGTTAATAGGAAATCCCAACTGTGTTTAATACTTTTTTATTAGACTGTGGTTTCAGCACACGTTAGAGCAAACGTTCTCTGTGTCTGCTGTTGATGGTTTTTTTTACTCCGCTGCCCCCGCTGCACCTCCCAGTTTGGTTTTACAGCTGTTTTTCTTCTCCGTGCAAAAATATTCATTTTTCTTTCTTTTTTTTTTTCTTCTTATGTACTTTGTGAGTACACTTTGTGTAATGACACAATCCAAAAACGTGCAAAATGTTGTGATTTCTTTCAAACCCAGCAAGAAACATTTCTGTTTTAGAAGATGTGCAAGTGTTTTCCTTTATAACCAGGAAAACAAATAAACAATTTAGTACAAGAACACAGATAGTTCTGTTATTGTATTTGTTTCACAATTGTTAAAAAAAACCGTGTACAACTCTGTGCCCTGTGTACTTGAAGGTGCACACAAAGTCACAGCGTTACGGCGTTTTTATCATTCTCAAAAAGATCAGTTAAATTATTATTCCTTTTTTTCTTTGTAGTTTACAACAGAATATGTTTATATAAATATACGTATATTAACATTATGGTCAGAGCATTTGTGAGTTATGTAAAGTGATAAAACAAAATAGCTTTTATTGGCAAACACCAGTTTGAGTTTGGAGTTGGATGTTGAAGCTGTTTCCCCAGTGTTAGGGTTCCCTCACCACCATCCACCACACTGCTGGCCCAGTTACATTCTCTACAGTGTTGGACATGAATTAGGTCACTCGTGCTGTGACACAATTATCGGGGCTCTGCTGGTTTCGGTTGCTAAAGTAACAGACAAACACCAGTGTCTGAGTTGTCCACTTCAACATGGCCCAGAAAAGGCAAGAAACTGATTCTGTCTTGATGACGTGGGTTAAAATAGCCGTGTTAGTGTCAGTCATTAGTCCCTGCTCTGAGTCTGAGGCTGAACATGATTGGTCACATTAGGAGAATGACCATGAATGGAACCTTTACAGTTCTCATGAAGGTAGTGGACACTCTGTGGTGGAGCTCACGTTGGACAATCTGGCTGCCAATCACATGCCATCAGGTGGTGATGTTATTGTGATTTACAAAGCCGATCACATTACTTGGACGTCATACTTCAGACATCATTATAGTCAATAATAATAATAATGTTTTAATATATGATATTACTGGATAATTGACCAGAACACAGTGTATCATCTGTGTGACCTCAATTAGTGGAACCTTTTTGTTTTTTCTCTGCAACTCCTTCATCAAATCTGCATAGCCTTTACCGCTCCAAGAATTATTCTGATCAAAAGCTCGTACCTCTGCAGATATTTAATAATCCGACTAAACCAAGATTAAATGTAATGATGAAGTCGACAGGCCAAACACCGGAGATTTGATAAATGTGATGAACGAGGGGCCACTGAACTTCAGTAGTGGTTCATAGAAATAGGATGCAGCCAGTTTCCACTTCCTCTTCTGTGTGACTCTGACCTCTGTCTTGTCTCTGTGGTTTCTGTAGATGTGGAGCACAAGGAGGAGGAGGGAGGGGACGTAGTCAAGACCGAGGTAAGACTTTTACTCTACTTTTGTCTTCTACTCTCATGTTGGTGTATCTCTTTGTTTGTCTCTCATACCTTTCAGCTCCATCTCCGGGGGTGAAGCCTATCAGAAATAGTGATCACAACCTAAGATCAGAGCATAGCAAGATAGTATGTAAGAGTGTGTTTTTGTCATGCTGATAAAAAAACTTCTTCAGGTTTGGTTTAGGGTAGTGGACAGCACTACTTAAGTTAGTGGTGTGATGGAACTTAATTATGTAACATGTCAACAGCAAGATAATAAAATAATTAACTATTGTTCACTGACTAAGAACTGTTGTCTGTTGGGTGTAGAAACAGTCAAACACAGTACCCTTTAAAGCACAGGAGCTACTTTCACCTGAGAACTCCCAACATCTGACTACTGTATATAAAGATTTTACTTTGCATTTACGCTGCATTTGCTTCACAAAACCAGTTGAGAACAATACACAAGCAAGGCCAATGCACAATGATCCTTTTATTTTGACGATCTTGTTTTCAAAACCGTGGGAAGCCAAAATTGAATCGAAATTCAAATTCAGTTAATTGCGAGCGAGGTCTCCAGCAGTTCCAGACTCTGTGTTCGGTCGTCCTTGGCTGAGTGTGAAAGGGAAAACCTGGCGGGGACAGCAGAGGGTTAGGAATAAAGGGCAGAGAGGAGAGCGTTTCGTTCTAAACTCCAAATCCAGTACAAAACTCAGTGGTGTGTCATGAACGGGGGAGTGCATGTGAGTGTGATGGGGGAGAAATGTCCTCTGATTGGTGCCTGCCTCCAAATATAGGTGACACTGTAATAAAGTGTTTGCTTTGCCTGTTGTTTGCTTCAGTGTGTGTTTTAGTTTGTTTGCTTTGCCTGTTGTTTGCTTCAGTCTTCAGTGCGTGTTTTAGTTATGAAGTCGAGGCTGTAGGTGTTAGTTAAGGTGGAGCTCAGCAGCTAGGGTCACTCCAGGTCACACTGCTGTCTTTGTCTTTGTGTTTTGTTTCTGTTCTGATGTACATCTGTGAGGCCAACACGGGCAGGAAGACGTGTCAGCATCACCTGCATTCACACATATCTCATCAATGCAGACACTTTCCCCCCCGAACTGTGACCATGTTCACGTCTGCATTCAAGCCTAACCACCTGAAAGCAGCCGGAAAATAACTTCTTATTCCTCTGGTTAACTGCCTGCTGACTTTTGTTTCCGTCCACAGACTAGTTACCACAGACTACCATTAATCTCTTTCTAGTGTTTTTGCAAACAGTTACTGACTATTTGAATTGTTCAAAAATAACCCAGAGGTTTATTTTTCCTTTTGCTGCCAGCTCTTCCACAAATGTGGACTACAGAGAAATGTAGACTGCACGTCAGGCTTAGTTTGGACTTGTGAAAGAAATGGTACCTGATGGTTTATAGAACTGAAATATCAAATACACTTGGAGGCTCTCGTGTTAGCATGTGGTGGTGACTTCCTGGGTTTCAGAGGAAACATGGACCTGGTATTCCTGCTAATGATGATGATTTTTGTGAAGTAGTCAGTGTTCATAACCAGAAATTAATTAGCAACATGTTTGCTAAGTCCTAAAGGGAAAGGCAAGTGCTTTAAAGAGATACTGGTGCAGATAGAGAACCAGCCTACGCTCGTAGAGGCGGGGGCTTCAAGCACTCAACGTCAACAGTATGTAGATTCTGCTCTTTCTTCAAAAGACTACTGAATATTCTTTATCTTCTGTGCATTTGGTTTAGCTGGTTTAAGGTGACGCTGATGATGAAGCGGTTTACCTTGAAAATTTAAGGATTTTTGGTTCCCTCTTAAAACCTAATTTTCAAGTTGTGGCCAGAGTTATTTTAGGAAAAGAAAAAAAAAAACTTTTATGACCCAGAACATTGCTGGACAGGGTCTAGTAAATAAATACATGCCTAGTTTATATCTAATCCAGATGCTTAAGAACCTAGAAGCTAATACTTTTTTTTTTTTAACACCTTAAACAGGGAGGTCGAGGCAGGCTGCGAAGGGGAGTTGGTTGGGAGATCAGCCTTCGTCAGAGGCCCATGCCCAGAATAACCTTCCAAGCTGGTGACCCCTATTACATTAGCAAGCGGACCAGAGAAGAGTGGTTGGCCAAGTGGAAGATGGAGGTGAGTACCCCAGCCCTGTCCAGCAGCCAGCAGTAGACCCGCAGAGTGATTGACAGGCGCAGACTGAAGCTGCTGAGGTCGAAGATAGGGCTTGTGGTTTCTGTACGGCCAAGTGTATTTGATGGGTCATTTGATATCTCATGGAGGTACCATTTATTTCAGAGGATTTGCAGGGGCTGTCGGCTCTGTTGGTTTCCTGGCTTTGTTATTGTCTGTTGAAAAATCAAGTGCAGCTGCGGTGGACGCATGTGTCCCGTGGCTGGACATGATTCATGTCTCTGAAGGTTCCCAATCGTTTGGGTCCTGTTGTTCTCTGGAGCGTAGACTGAGATTGATTGGACTTGCTTGAGAGTGTTGAAGACGTTGCTCCGGTTCAGAATTCAAACTCTGGAAAGTCCAGTTGCCTCAATCTTTATCGCAGATGGTTGATTGATGTTTTGTGGAGAGGAAAGTTGCAGTAAATTTCAAGTTTGTTTAATCCTAAAAAGGTTCTGATGTCAAAACTCTCCTAAGCTCGGTTGGTTTTCTGTACCCTTTGATATTTCATATTGTAGAGAGACAGGAAGTGTGTGTCTTTGTGTGTGTCCGTGTGTGTGTGTCTCAGACAGAGTGGTGTGATTTGCAACAAGACTCCAGAATTTAAGTGCCAGCACTGTGGTTATATTGCATGTGCCATAACCTTTGAGTTACCAGGGGCAGCCCCTGGTAATTTCCCTTTTACCCCAGGATAATAGAATGGTATCACAGGGTAAGGAGAAAATGTGTTACAGATTTATGGGTTCTGACACCCAGAAAGTCATTAAATATGTGAGAAGGATTTCAATTCTGGGCAAACATTCTCCAGACAGCCAGTTTACTGTGAACTTGGATGTCTTCAAAGAAACATGGAACCACAACAACGTCAAGTAAGGAACCATGAGTCGGATTGAAGGTGTCTCATAGGTTAAAAAACCCACTTTTTTCCATGGAAACTATATTCAACTGCGTAAGATAAAATATATCTTTGCTAAGACCTGGAAAATTGTCACCTATTTTGTTTTACACGTAGAGGTTTACTCAAAAAATCCTAACAAGAGCCGTCCACCTTCAGAACAAAGCCCCCTCCTGTTTTATAACATGCTAATCTTTTTAAACTCGTATACATCTGAACCAGACCAACACCTGTTCGTTTTTCATTATTATCATTAACCCTTGCTTTGTCGTGTCTGATGAGCTTTATCTTGTCGTGTTTTCTTTGAATGAAATTATACTTCAAAGCTAAAACTTGTCTTACCACAATTTACAGAAAAGTGTTTAATGACACCGTACTGTGAATGTAGTAGGAAGTGGCCTGATTTATCAAGTGATTTGTGTTAAATCATTTTTTTCTCACACTCCTTCCTGGTATTCCTTCCTTATTCGTCGGAGACTCTGGAGTGGCTGTAGGTGTGAATGTGCGTGTGAACGTCACATTGCACCGTACCAACCCCCCTAAACCTTCCTGCAGGTGGTGAGTCCACTGGAAGGTACCAACCGCCCTAACCAGGATTCGAACTTGCCCAGGAGGTGAACCCTGGGGTTCCACACCAATGACAGAGACATTGCCTCTGGGCCAAAGCACCACTCAATCTGTAACCATCTGGATTATTTATTGTGTGGTGAATACTGTAGTTATAACTTGTGGCATTTTGATGTAGAAATGTGACTCTATATATATATGACATCATAAGAAGTCCTCTTAGCTTAGCTCCTAGCTTCAACCCGGCCATTTCTCCTGCCTCTCCCTCAGCAGTACGTTCTCATCTGCAGCAGCCGTAAAAACGTCCCCAGAACGGAAATATATTGCCAAATTAGCAGGACATGTTGGAGTTCCACCAGTGAATTGTCATAAACTGTGTGTCAAATGGTGTACTTTTCCCTGAAACAAGAGCTGGATTGTTGTTGTTTTTTTTCCTCCAAACAAATTAAGGCTTTTCTGGAGGATTTACAAATTATGACTCTGCATCTTTGTGCAACCTTGATCTCATTAGTGCAAAGACTTTGTTTTGGCATCAAAGTCCATTTCCTGAGTGGGATGGTGATGCATGTCCTTATTTGGCTTATTTGGCTTGTTGTTGTCTGCACTAACACTAACAGAACATGTGGCTGTTGCAAGCTGCTGCAACAGGAAGAAAACACACTGACCGACTGGGTTAGTGCCGCCTTACGCTTGCTCTCTCTTCTGATCTCTTTTTGCTTTTAGCGAGACCCGCGTTACAGTGGACTACAACTCCCCCTTTTCTCCCCCTATTCTTTACTCTGGCCCCTCCCCCAGTTATGGAAATGGACTCGTGCAATGTGCGATGGATATGAGGGTGAAAATGAGGTTTGTAGCAAATATCCAGCCCTGCTTCCAAGACAGCCTCCTGGCTCGCTGCCAAGATTTTGCAAGTCCGCTCTAGCCAACCAGGAATCCTGACGGCAATCACCTGACCCTGAATTCCCAGACAAAGAAATGTTCATGCTTTCTGTGTTTTTTTTAAATTCTCTGCTAACCCGAGAGAGGGGGTGAAAAGAAAAAAAGTCAAGGCTCACTGGATTATGAGAGTTGCACGCTGGCGTGTATGGGTATGTGCACTGCATTGTTTCTTTGATAGCACATGGAGTAGGTTGAAGGTGGAGGGGGTGTAGACAGGATAGTCTGCATGTATGAATAGGCAGCTTCCAGCAGAAGGAATATGCTGACTTCAGGTATTTGCTCAGGACTTGTACTGTGGACCATCTGCTCCGTGCAGCTTAAAGGGAAACCGTCTCTTTAAAAGGGGGGGAGGAAGAGCGAACATGCGTTTTTCGTGTTTGAGGGGAAGAAAAGTTGCTTTGCATTATAAAAGTTGACTGGCGGGGAAGTTGAGTATTTTGTAACTATTTCCTGTTTTATTACACTGCTTAGAAATGTCAGCCAGCCAGTGTTTGTTTTTTTTTTTGTTTTTTTAGATTTGCATGTGAGTCTTTTTTTAGGAACCGCTTTAACCTCGTGTATGTTCCTGTGCTGGCTTCAAAGCCCCTTTACTTCCTATCGCAGTGGACTTTGTTCTTTAAAGTCATAAATTTACTGTAAGAAGGGTAATTTGATAACTTGAAAAGATTACTTCTGTGAAGAACGCCCGGCCGCTGCTGCTGCTGCCGCCGCCTGAGGGGGTGGGCATTTTTCTCTTTTAACAAGCCTACTTGTTGATTTATGGAGAATTGTGTTTATGTATTCATCGCTGACTTTGTAATATTCCTAATTATCTCTAAAATGGACGCTACACAATGAGAAACAGATGGACTCTTTGCCTGTGACCCACCCCACCCCCCCAGGCCACTCATGAAACATGCAGTCTTTGTAGGGATCTGTGTTAAAACCCGGCTAATGAATGCAGAAGCCACGTTGCTGCACTAAAGAACCTGCCACTTGTGCATTTGCAGTCTTTCTTTATCCGCTGTGGCTCGACTCAACCACACCTGTTGTGACTTTTTTTTTTTTTTTTAAATATATGCCGTTTGTTTGCTGTCTTGCAAAGTTTTTGCATTTTACAGCCTTTTTTCTTTCACTGTATGACTCTCCAGGAGTGTCACACAGAACGTCCCCCACTGTGACTCTGTTGCCTGTTGCACACGAGAAGTTGGTGCATTCAAAGGTCAAACTCCTTTGTGCCGCTCTAACGGCTCTCTGTCAGGTCTGCTGAGGAAGTAGCGATCAGCGAAGCCTTCCTTTCAGTTGCGTTTAGCTGGCAGACAGAGTGTGAGGGCTTAGGCATCGACAGCAGACAACAGCAATGGCAGACGGACAACGACAGGACGACGAAGACAATGAGATCAAAGGAAATGGCATTAGGTCCTCCTGTCTGTCTGGACATGTGTTAAACTCTGGAGAATTTGACCAAACTTTTAATCATTTTGGTTTCCATTGTCCATTTGAAAGATAAATGTGGTGAAATGTTTTGGCAGTTATTCTCACTAAATTATTTGTCCTGTTACATTTGGTGAAAAGTGAGATTTGAAATCTGAAATACTGGTACAAACTGGAGCTGAAACACCAAAGAATGTTGGCCCACACTTTGGCTTCATGGTTTAATAGCACTGGGCCACAGTTGAATCCCAGAGAAAACCTAAACTGGAGAGAAAGTACACAGAAATACTGGTCCAGTTGGGACATCGAATAACCAATAGTACTACAGTGGTTTTGAAATCCCAATATATCAGGTACAAACTGGTGTCAAATTACCCATAATACACAATATACCAAATTAGAAACAAAATACCGAAGAGCAATGGTCCAAAAATACCCAGACACACTGGTGAAACTGCAGTGAAAATACTTCAGATAGTTCTCAACTTTGACACCAATACCCAAGAGTACTGGTCAGCACTGCTACAGTTCCATCTGAAACATGATTTGTCTGTGGTTTTTGTCTGTGGTTTTGTGGCCTTTGACACCTAGTCAAGTCCACAGTATTAAATCATCACCACTGCATTGTTTTCCTTTGAGACCCTGAAATATTTTCTCGTAAAGTTAACAACTTTGTATTAGAACAGAGTTTTCTTGTAAATAAAGGAAACTGCTCAGTTAACGCCAACAGTTCTGTGTTCACTAGTGCAGCTTAGATTGTATGTAAAAATATCATCTGCAAATCTCCAGAGTCCACTTTCTGCCCTGCTTCACGCTGTCACCCCGGAGCCCTGGGGGTGTCACGCTGTATAGTCTGTATGTCTGATTGTCCCGACATGTCTGCACAGTCTGGTGGAGGTCTGCAGAGATTCTGTCTCCTCTCAAAAAACACACTCTTACTGTAAGTGCTGTCGCTTCACTCGGGTTTTTCCGTTGCATTTGTACAAAACCGAATTGTTTGGAGAGGAAAATACAAGCCGTGAGGACGTTTTCTGACCCGTGTTTATACGTTTACAGTAAGATTGCCGTCATTTCTGGCATTTTGACTGCAGCGCGGCGTGACAGCAGATGTAAGTGGTTGGTATTTCTGTGCCGTCAGTGACAGGCAGGCGTGCGTAAACGATAAAGGCCGCATTGTGTCTCTGCTGCTACCTCCTTTCCTCTTTGCCCCCCCCTTCCTGTAGACTCGGAGGGCCTGTCTTGCTGGTGGAGCTACACACATGCACGCACACACACACACACAGTGAGGCCCCCAAAAGGGGGAAGAAGGGAGGAGAGGGGGCATTTACAACTGGGAAGACGTCCAAAGACAAATATCTAGTTCCCTATAGCCACTGTACTTTTCTCTCCTCCCCCACTGGTGTTTTCAGCGTCGCTTTTCTTATTGGCTATGAGCACGCAGAGAAGAAACCCCGGAGACAGTCTGACCCAAAACAGGCAGAAAGGAACACACTCGCAAAAAAAGCAACAGCCTGTATGGCGTCTCCTGGCCTAGCTGTTCAGTAGGGGTGAAGAAGTCGGCGTGAAGTTTGCGAGATGATGATGATCTTTGCTGTGGATTGTTTCTCTCCCATGCAGTGGGGGCTTTGACGTTTGTCCGTTTTCAGAGTTTCCCATCTGGAAGCAAACACCCAGGCAGGCTGTCGAACCCTGACTCCAGTTAGTGCGCTTGTTACGCCGCCAAGATGTCTTACACATATGGACACAGGCTTTGAACCATGTATCCCTCCATCCGTCCAGCTCCTCAGCACAGATATTTATAAACCACAGCAGAGACTCTTGATTGAGCCGCACATGTTTCTGCTCCTCACTGCAGATACGTTACCCTCCTCACCCCTATCCCCCTGCTTTCTAGGCACCGCCTCCTCTTAAAGGCGCTATTGTTTATGAGTCAGTGTGGGAGAGAGGACGGAGGATTGAGCTATACTGTCTCTGATTTTTTTTTTTTCTTCTTATTCTTTTTCTCTCTACCTCCTCCGGAGTTGAGCTTTCTGCATATGCTGTGTGTATGGGTGTGTGTGTGGGGCGGGGGGAGAGGGGGAGGAGGAAGGGGAGGAGGAGGAGGCTGAGAGAGAATCTGAGAAGCTGAGAAAGCACGAGGAGCGAGCACAGCTGGACGGCGCTGGTGTCACGTGGAGTCTATAGGATGACTAACACGTGTTTACATATGGGGCTGCTGCAGCTCCGTGCAGCGTGTGTGTTAACAGTGTGTCTGCACACACTAGGCTGTTTTAGCTTGTTTTACCCAAAAATCTAACCATAAAATATAGGCTATTTTGTCAAATCGTATGTTAGTAGTCGTACAAATGTTATTATTTATAGAAGAAAAAAAAAAGAGTCAGGGAGACTCCTGTCTGCTGTCATTGATGTTAATAAGGATGCTTCAGTGAAGTAGTAATGTGGAGCCAGTGTTTTTTTTCTTCATTCTTGACTAAACCATTCCTACAGAGAATGATCTGATCTGTTATTGTTTAGAGCTGCATTTCAGCCCAAGCTGAACCACCAGACAAATCACTCTGAGGCTCTGATTGGTGCATCAGTCTGAAAATGAAGCACAGTTTCATTAATGTCCTGGGTTTATTTCCCAGAGGTAGTGTGGCAACCTGTGAGTTGCAACCAGGTACTTAATGACAGTCTGTGTTGGTTACAAAGTTGTACTGTACTATACTATACTGTACTATAAGGGACTCAAATATTATTATCTTCAAGTCTGATGATAAATATCTTTATATTTTATTCTAGTCTTTTCTGTCAGGAGTAAAAAAAAGTAAAGCACATATGCTTTAATAATGTCAACCTGTTCGATCTGCATTTTTGACTCAATCATGACTCAAAATGAAACGCCATTTTGAAAAAGCACCATTTTGGATGGGTAATCTACACAGCAGGAAGACAGGAATCTGTGATTGTTTAGAGCTGCATTTCAGCCGGTGCAGCCTAAACTTAAAAAGACACCGTATAACGTATCAGTGTGAAATGAAGACCAAACAGTTCCAGTTTTGGCCATTTATATATATTCTCCGAGCCCGACATTATTCTTACTGGTATGTTTGGTTGTTATATGTTTTTAAAATAAAGCCATTTGATCCATGAACCACAACGAGCCATGTTATGGACAGCTGTCTTTACTTGGCCATGATGTTTCAAATTCTCAGATATCAGTCAGTTTACACACTGTTTTAGACATGATTGCAGCCTCGTCTGATTCATAGTTTTATGAAGAGTTTCTTTCATCAAAAAGGTAGAGTGTGTGTGTGTGTGTGTATGTGTGTGTGTAGCAGGAAGGGAGACTGAGCAGCAGTAGAGTGATAGCACATGGGTGGGATCCTGTGTCTGTGTTTGGGAGAAGCAGATCCACATGAGTGCAGCTGTTAGGGATTTAGCTCCAGCTTATATCCCGGCTGCGTCTCCTCGTCGTTGCTGATCGACCTAGTAGTGGTTCAGTGTCAGGTACCACAAACCCAGTGAACCCAGTGGACGCCGCAGCTATAGACACTATAGGGTAACTGTATACACGGCTGTTGATGAATGGGCTTCACAGACGGAGATAAAGACATGTTTACAAAAGAGCTGAGACTCCCACCACATCACCATTCCACACGTTGGCCGCCCAGACGAGGTGTTGTTCTGCTCACAACCATTTCACTGACGGTCATGAATGACTTCAGCCACTGCAGGAAGTGAGAACACGATGACAGGCTCTATTCAAGTGTGATTGATAAATATCTTGAGTGCACATTTTACCCCTCGAGCACCTTCTAAAAATATGTTTCTCTGGTCTTTTGGATCAGACGCAGTAACCCATTTGTGGAAACTTGCCACAGATTACTGCACATACCTGCTCTTCCTTTGATATTCCCACGTCAAGTACAAAAAAAAACATGATTTATCTCACTTAACGTCTACAGACGGCTCAGAAAAATATACTGCTCTAGCCAAAAAGATTAAAGATTTGGCAGCAAAATGTTAGCGATAGGTTAAAAATTGTACCACTTAAAATTTAAAGCCTTAATTTAGAGAGTACTGCTGTATACTAAGAATTTTTTTGCTCTTTTTTTTTCTTTCTGAAAAATCTGCCCCAAAAATGATTCAGATGTCCCTAAAATGTTTCACTGTGGAACAAATGATTTCAACTGCCACTGTTTTCATCCTTCTTCTACTCTTGTTTCTGGTTTTTTAGCAATGTTTGTTTTTCCCAATTTCAGAAGTGACTTTACTAATCATCATCTTAACGTTCACCCAGAGGCTACATAAGCTCCTTGTGTCTGTGTTTCAGGCAGAGAAGAAGGCCAAACTGATGTCAGCCATGAACACCATGAAGGACCATGAAGACATGGACACAGACACACAGAAAGAAGAGGATTTCATATTAACACACCCACAGCCTTGTAAACTTCAGCAGCAGCAGCAGCAGCAGCAGCCTCACACTCAGCCTCAGTATCAGCAACAATCACAGCTGCTGCTGCCACAACAACACAAACAACAACAGCAGCAGCCACCGCAGCATCAGCAACAACTGCCTCCTCGCCTGCAGCAGCAGCAACAACAACAACAGCAGCAGCAACAACAACAACAACAACAGCAGCATCAGCAACAGCATCAGCAACAGCCTACTGACCCAGCTTCTCCAACTGTTGCTACGACACCGGAACCTGTCGCCATCTTAGGGGGAGACAAGACCTGCCCTAAGTCTGCAGACGCTGAGGCGGAATACGAGGTAGGGCCGTATGAAGAAATACATTTTGTATTTGTTTATTTATCAACACATAGAGGTAGGGCCGTATGAAGAAATACATCTTTATGTGTGTATTTGTTTATTTATCAACACATATTTGTGTAAATACATACAGAAATATATATGTGTTTGTATATATTTATCAAGCAACACTAGTATAGAGGTTTAGGGAGAATGGCCTTCTGCTGTGACAGACTGAGTTACAGACTGGGTGGAGTCAGAGTCTCCCACTGCACCATTCTACCCCCCAGCGTAATAACAGCCAATAACGCCCTCTACCTAATCACAGTGTAACCAGTTTGAAAAGACGGTGCCATAATAGTCAGGATGTTATGGTAAAAAAATACCACCAAGATGTAGAACAGGTCGCTCAGATGTTTGTACCATTAAATATTCGTCCAGGTCTACCTTTGATTAGTCCTTTATTATTCATTTATGCAGTTGCGGTGCCTTGACTTTACTGAGGTTCAGTTCACAGTCATAGCCATAAATGCAATGGTGCTAATAATTGTTAATAATTTCTTTCTGTGTTTCGGTTTTCTAACCTTGGTTTCCTCATTTTCAGTTTTCGGTTTCGGCCGAGAATTGTCATTTCAGTGCATCACTAGTGTTGAATTAATGAAAGATGTTCAAAATTGTGTTTAGTCTGAATTTATTTCTTTTCTCAAAACTGAAAGAAGTGATTATCAGACAAAGAACCTGTGACCTGTTGTCACTCAGAAATCTACCTGGAAATAATTCTCTGTCATAGACGCGAGGAAATGTAGCTTTGTTATTTCTAAACATGTTTTTTTTTTTTTTCAATTTTTTTTTACTTTTTGACTTGTGTTTGTCCCAATGTTAGAGACAAGTATGAGGTAATATTGTGTTTTTTAGCCTTAAACATATAATCTATTCTTACTATGTCAAAAAAGATCCCAGCCACAGTCTGTGTTTATGAAGGTTTCACAACTATGTCCTGCGGTTCGTTCAGATCGGATGATTTTTTCTTTTTTTTTTTTATTGTGGCTGCAGGACGGTCGAGGTTTTGGCATCGGAGAGTTGGTTTGGGGCAAGCTGCGAGGGTTCTCCTGGTGGCCAGGCCGCATCGTATCCTGGTGGATGACGGGACGGAGCAGGGCTGCCGAGGGAACCAGATGGGTCATGTGGTTTGGAGACGGAAAATTCTCAGTGGTGAGCGCTTTAAGAGCCAACGTTAACATTAATGTGAAGTGATGTGTGTTTTTCCTTTTTTTTTTTTTTTTTTTTTTATTTTGTGACCCGTCCAAC